GCTTTGGATAATCCTATATACAAAGCTAATGGAGAGAGACAAAGAGGGAGAACTTTAACAGCAGTTGAGGCTATGTGCCAGGTAAAGTACTAAGCACTGTCACCTGTTAAAACCTCATCATGATAAAGCTCATTTTCCCCCAGCAAGCTGAGGAATCTACAGTTCAAACTTGCCAGAGGTCATCATGGTAAGGATGGAATGAAAGTTGTACTTGCAAAGATCTTCCAAGGTCATAAAAGGCCCCTTGAATGAGTTTAGCCCTTTAACAAAGAATTTTAAGGGAGAAGGAGGGAGGCAATGGTACTTTGTTCTGATTTTCTTTTAGCTTCTTCTGAGAAGCTTATGATCTGAGTGAGCTCAAGATAAGCGAGACTGCCATTATAATCCAAATAAATGTTTAAGACAAGAGTGATACAAATAGGGACTCAAAGAAATTGTTGTTTTTAAACCTTAACCATTTGGGGGCAACTGGTAGAGCTATTACTGGAGAGTAGGAGAGGATTTCAAACAACTGCATGCATTTCTCCAAACAAGGGGAAAAGAAATCAAGCCCAGAAAAATAATGAGTTCAGGTTTGACCAGGCTGAATTAGAAACAAAGGCCAATCAATCATAGTATCTTAAGAACATACACTGAGGTCTCCAACTAAGAAATAAGGGGTATTTTTAGAACTTCTTGTTTTCTATAGGATGGCAATTAATAAAAACCCACCTATTGAATCTAATTTTTGTCTTGTTTTTTCCTAAATTTCCATTCTTCATATAGATTTCCACAACTCCTTGTATACTATGTATATGTATACCCCATACACCTGTTTTTCTTCAGTAAACCATAGTTTTTAATTTCACAGGCAAAGTACAATGTGCATTTAAGGCTGCTTCCAGTTCTGCAATTACTTAGGACACTTTCACAGCAAGATACTTGGCTACATTTTTTAAATTGTATCTTTTAAAACTTGAAACTCTTTGCACTCATGAACTCAAGCCCCTAGAGTCATATGTATTTGCTACTGAAATAATTTTCCCTATGTAGCAGTAACAAGGACTCAGATTTTAAAAATCCAAATAGTCTAGTTGACCAGAGTAATTCCCAGCTTCACAAACATGCTTCATATTAACCCAGGCCCACGAAAAGGTAAATCTTCCATTTTATTGCCATAGGAAATTTTCTTTTTAAAACCAAATCTCTATTATTCGGGTATTGGATAAACACATTTCCAAAACATGCCTTGGTATTTCTAAGTACAAACTCCCTATACAGGTGAGTAAATAGATGCCAAAAACATTTCTGATCTGGACAGATTTTACACAGCTGGTTAATGCCACAGGCAGAATAGAGGGGTCTAAGCATGATCTGTGGCACAGTAGTCAACGCAAATTTCCCTTTCTCTGCCTCTGAATATTCATCTTCTGTCTCTGATTTCTGAAAAGGTGTATAAGAAAGCAAGGTATAGAGAGAAGTTTTGCAAGTACAAATTTTCTTTGGCAACTTAGTGTCTCAAACACCAAATATTGAAGCTAAAGAAAGAAAGTAGATGAAACTGAAACTACTTCCTATAATAAGAACTTTTATTGCATTTCAAATGTCCAAATTAACCCTTTAATTTTCTACAGGAAAGACTGGCTTCTATCTCAGTGTTCTGAGATTACAATAAATGTTTGGTCCTCTTTATTTCATTTCACAGGATGAGCAAATTATACACCTCACTAACCACTAGGAGTATTTTTTGTAATTAATATATTATCCTATAGTGATAAAATATCATAAAACTAATTCTAAGTATTTTTCATAATTATTAAACTCTTCTTTGAATATTTTTAAGTCTTTTTGAGACAGGGTCTCCCTGTAGCCCCAGATGGCCTGGAATTTGCTATGTAGACCAGACTGACCTCAAACTCATGGCGATCTGCCTGCTTCTGCCTCCCAAGTGCTGGGATTAAAGGTGTTCTCCACCAATGCCCAGTTTCTTTGAAATATTTTTAAATATTATTTTGCTGAAGCCAATGTTGTAACAGAAAATGTGAAAAGAAAAAAAAATCCTATTCTTTCCTATCCCACATTATCACAATTTTGAGTTTCTTTAGGCTCAAGTACAAACAAGTCGTACAGAAATATTATGTTTTTAGTCATTTATAACATGATTCCTCATTTCTCTAACTACCATAAACATTCCTTAATGTCAACAGATAAAGAGAGAAAAATCCACTTTTTAAGATTCTTAGTACATTCCACTGTACTTGATATACACTAAGGTTATTCCTAGCTTTCTGCATCTATAGGCAGTGTGTTAATAAGCATGTTTCCACAATTCACTATGTCAGACTGAGGCAAAGTCACACTGTTACAGATGCACACATTCACTCTTGCTCTGCATTAATAAGGAGCACCAAGAAGAGACATCAGCACAGGAAACAGACTCTCCATTTAAGAAAATCTCGTTAAAGAAAGAACACATTTTGGGGGCTGGTACATGGCTCAGTGGTTAAGAGCACTAGCTGCTCTTGCAGAGGATCCAGGTTCAAATTCCAGAACCAACATGGTAGTTAACAACAGTCCATAACTCCAGATCTAGGAGAATCCAATGCCCTCTTCTGACTCCCACAGGCATTGCACAACATGGTTGTACTTACATATATGCAGACAATATACTCACACACAAATAAAGTAATAAAGAACACATTTTTGATTATACAGATATTGTTATGGTTTGAATGCCCAATGTCCCCCACAGCTTCATGTGTTCCTAATCCTCAGCTGGTGACACTGTTTTGGGAGGCTGTGGAACCTCTTGGACTTAGAGCCTGGCTGACAGAACCAGAGTCACAGAGGCAGGCATGAGAGTTTTAGGTGGGCTCCAGCAACTGGCTCCTACTTCCAGCACCATAGACTGAGTCCTCCCCCATGCCTCCCTGCCACAATGGACTGGACTCTCTGGTTCCTCTCTTAAGTTGCTGCTGTCAAGTATTTGGTCACAGTGACCAAAATACAGACGTGTTCAAAATTGATCAGAACTTGTTTCTCAAAGTCCTTAAAGGAAGACTGAAGAATGAGAAACAAGGTTCAGAATTCATATTATAGTACTGGATTAGAGAAGAAATAATTGTAAGTTCAAAAACATAAAATCCTCCTCTTGTCTTCTAAAGAAAAGCTGCCTGACAATATAACCACATACTAAAATTTTAATTACAATTTAAAAACTCCCACAGAAATCAATTTATAAGATGCTTTCCATATGAAACATTTATCATTATTTCCTAAAGTTGAAATAAATTTGTCAAATTTAAGGAGAAAATTAATATAAAATCATGGGGGAGGAGAAGTCTTAGGTGAGGAGATACCAGAAGACATAGGCTATGAATGGGGGTGGGGTCAGGGAAGCAGGAAGGGTAGGGGTAGGTTAACAAAAACTAAGAATGTAGTTTTTTTAATCTCATAGAAGCCCACTACTTTGTAAGTTAACAAAAATATAAATTAAAAAGAAGGAGCTTGAACATGGATAACCTACATGGGTGAACAACGGGTTAAATGAAAATGCCAGGTATAAGATACCTCCTTATAAGTTGTTGGACAGGGAGGCCCCAGAGGCCTCCAAAACAACACAGGCTATAGCCACTGCTCTTGATTGCCCATCGGAACTACATGATAAAATCCTATTGAAGACAAAACCAACTATGGTTGCATGACAGAGAAACCAAGATGTAACTGACCTGAAAACTTCCTCCCCACAGGCTCTTTCATAGTGCCAGAAGATGTTAGGCAGGGGGGAGAAAAGCTATCAATGGTCTTACCCAGTGGTGAACCCTACATACTACAATACCTGCCTACAAGGCAAGATGTGTCCATAAATGCAATAGTACAAGGGTTATGGAGTAACTTCCCCTTTTTGATTAGATTTGAGGCCCACTCCACAGGAGGGACTTCAATGCCGGTACTGTAAAACCGGTCCAAAGGCCTTAGGTGGGAACCTATTACTGTTGTCTTGCTAAGTGAACATGCTGTCAAACTGCCTTCTAAATAATATTTATAAACATAGATTAGTGTGTGTTGTCCTCAATGCTGGACAGAAAAGCTTCTCCCTGCAAAAGACAGCAGTTAATATAGAGACTGATGAATGGTCAAAATGCTAAGAATAAGTGGCCATTGAGTGTTCAGCCCTAAATGGACATCAACACAACATACACACACACACACACACACAGAATATTGTGGAAGAGGGGGTGGAAAGAACATAAGAGCTGGCAGATGGGAAGGAATACTAGAAATGCTGTTATCAAGACATGACACGGCCATTGCACCCAATCACTGCAGCCATGGGTACCTGCACAAGAGCTACACAAGACAATGCCAACGAAATCAGTCAGCATTCAAATAGGTAGCACTGATTAAGCTCAATGGTTTACAAAAAGAAAGGACATGAAGCAGGAAAGGGGACAGGTAGGGTAGTCGTCCAGGGAGTGGGAGGAGGAGCTGGGGTGCATATCATCAAGATATGCTGCTTACATATACAAAACTGCCAAAAAATAAGATATTGTATTAAAAATCATTGTCTCTGATACCATTATATATTTAGTATTTAAAACTGTTATTTTAACAAACATAAAATAGTAATATAAGGTCTTTGAAAAATCTCAAAGAAAAAAAAGTAAGATCACATATCATAAACTGCATAATCATTAAGAAGAAAAAATAAAATTTCAGTTCCATCAAGCTGCCTATGGGGAACACAGTAGAGAATTGATCACAACATGACTAGGAATCATACTTCATTTTGAGAAATTAATATTTATTGACAAAAGGTCATAATTGGTGTTGAGTACTATAAAATTTTTAAATGCCAAGAGGAATACATTGCAAAGCTCTAGTAATAAACATACAGACTGTATTTTCCAGGTTTTGGCAGACACTATCATTTTCATTTGTCTTAGAAGCACTGCTGAGAAGAAAGCAAGCATGACACCCTTCACAGAGCACAAAGAAGGTGCTGACGTGCAGAGCTGATATCGACACATGGTTCTAGGTCTGACTGTCCACATTAGAAGACCAGCATTTTTCCTTCAAAACTCACAAAATGCAGTCATTCTTTAATCAGTCCCTACTTAGTTCTCAGTGTTCACTCTGGGAAGTTCTCAGTGCTCCGAGCACATGACGCATGTTTCTATGACCCTTTTGGTCTGTATGCCTTCTCTCAAATGTATTTCCTTCTTCCTCAAAACAGACTCTTCTCAAAGGAGTCATCAATGGGTCTTTCTTGATTCAAAATTGACTGGAAGACAAGATCCGACAAAGGGCCTCTTTTCCATCTGCCCAAGCTAGGAGGGAAAAAAGGAGAAAATAATTCAAAATTCTCTTTTAAGAGCAACATTTCTTATTTTCATTTAAACAAAAAGGAAAAAAAGGGGGTGGGGAACTCTACCCGTGTATTCTTCTATTTTACTAAATTTACCTTGGTCAATTTTAGGTAGACATATCTTACTGACTTCAAGTTAACTAGGTTGTTATAACTGTGACTTTCACCTTCTCTAAGTTTTGAAAAACAACTTTCCTCTATATAACTGTATACTCTAAGAACACAGAACTTCCAATTCAGACACTAAAACGTCAAAAAAGGGAATTTCTAGAAAATCTCTAAGAAACTCTGACACACAGTTTTGCAGTATTTTTAACCTGCAATGAGACTAGTGTTACCATAAAAGCCGTTCCCTGAACTCTGGGCACGCAGATCTCTGCTATTCTAGGGAAAAATCAAGAACATAAGACTAAGGAGCCCCAGCTAGTCATATAATTAAAATGTATAGCTACGTTAAACACTGGTCATGCCTGAGAAATAAGAGTATCAACTGGTTAAACAGCCAATTAACACAACCAAAGAAGAGATAATTAAAAAGCTTATCACAAATTAAATTTTAAAGCATATATTCAATTTTTTTTAAATCAACACAGTCCACGTATCTAAACATTTATTGGTTTTAAGGAGCTGAGACCTGTTACTACTATGCCAGCATGTTATCTACTTAAATTTTCCTGGCGAATCTTACTACCCAAAAAAGCCTGAAGTTCAAGAACTCTGACACAACTTCCTTTATTATGAGCATGACAGAACGTCAGTGCAAAAACAGAAGAAAAAAAAAAAAGAAACAGAAAGATGCTTTCTTTTGTGACTTTTCTATCGCTCATGGAAAAGACTACTATGCTAACACTGATTCATCTCCCACACCTCCCCACACTACCCACTCCTTTTAAAAGACAGGACTGTTTTGTCTAGATAAAACACCACCACCAAGTGAAATACACAAGAAAAAGAATACCTGTAAGATTTTCTTTGCACAACTTGTTCCAGGCAAGGATCTTCAGGTTCTCTCTCCCAATCCTTTCTCCACCATTTCTTCAGTCATTAGAGATGCATCCTGAATGATGGTGGAGGATGCAGAAGTTTATAGCAGATGTGGCATACTGAGACCAAGGGTTATATCCATCTCCTCACAAAAAGGATGGAGCCTTTCAGGTGGTTCAAAAAGTACCATGTCACACCTCTATGATTACACTCCATTACTACTGTTCTGATACTGAGCAATTCCTATACCCAACCCCAAATAAACCACCAGGATGTGCCTCAGAATCTTGAGTATCTCATTCTCTGGGATTTTTTTCTTCACCAATCTTATTTTAACATATAATGCTGACTTATTCCTACAAAAGATGCTAGAGATTATACTTTATTAAAAAGCAACAGTAGTCAGATGTGGTGGCTCACACCTGTGAATCCAGCACTCAGGAGGTTGAGAACTGAGATTTATATCAACATACACAAACACATGCATATATATATATATATATATATGTATGTATATATATATATATATATATATAAAATCGCACACAAAATACATATATAGTAAAAGATGCAAAGTGTGTGAAAATACTTCTGCAAGAGTCTCAAAAGGACAGAGTTTCCTGAATAATAACAAAAAAGTGTACTTTATTAAGAAACCTACAGGCTTGAGACTGTGAACAAACCACTACCACCTTAATGTTGTCCTCCTCCCTTTCAGTCCAACATAACTTGTACCACTTTAATTTTTAAGTAAAAATGTTCCTTATAGAATGGCATTATGTGTCAAGAAAAAAAGGAATAATATTCCTAATATTTTCCATCTTCTTCTCAAAAGGAAACTTTTATTAGCATTTTGTGTCCCCTCCTCTTTCTTGTGCATAATGAATGTGCACATAATTTCTGACCACAAACATATTATGCATACTGTTCTCACAATTTGCTTCTTCATAACATATCTTGGCCAGTTCTTTCTCATATGAGTATATTATCAGTATCACTCACCAATTTTAGTATTCATGCAATATTTCTTGGTAACTAGGGATTGTGGTGTCATAGTATTTATTTTCTTTGCTGCTTCTGTCTTCTCAAAAGACTGAACCGCCTGGTTTCCATGTCCCATGTCACTTTTCATTCTCTAGTATTTCTTATCACCACTATTGCATCTTTAGTTCTGGGATTCGTCTTCAATTTTATTTCAAAATTATTAATTCAATTTCCATTCCTTCCTTTGAAAATTTGAAAAATAAGATTTTTAGTTTCTGAGACCTCTGCATATTCCCTTCTTTCAGAAAACTCTATTTTACCTCAACTAGCTCTAGGAAAACAAGAAACATTAAGTTCTATTTATTTTTTGAATTGTTCCCATTTTCCAAGGGTCCATTTTTTTCCCTAGTTAACATTCTATTTTGTACTGTTGGCTTTCTAGTGTCAATTTGTGACCCTAGTTAATTTTCTATTTTATATTATTGGTTTCTTGGTGGCCTGTGGTAACAAATTTTATGAACAGTGTTCTAGAACTACTGAACTGGTTTTCTCCCTGTAGATCTATGGTACTGTCATGCCCTAGAGGCTTGTTGTTACAGGTTTAAGCTCCAACTCGTTCATTCAAAGAATGAGTCTCATTGTGAATGAGTAGAGCTCACGAAGAGGTACGTTTTAATTTAGAATGTATATTTACAAAGCTGTGTGGACTGGAACCTTCAAGATTGCTGTACTTTGGTGACAGAATGTTTTAATATATTATGCACATGTGGAACCTCCGTTTTCTTTTTCCTTTCCCTGTTCAAACTGCTACTCTAGTCTCAATACACGTCAGAAACCTCCAAAATCATTGTCTGCAAAACAGAAATCACAACTCTATCCTCCAGGAAAATATTTGTTTATAATCTGAACAAGGGTAAAAAAGGGAAGGACCAGCTACTGCCAGCTACCAGCTTCAAAACTTATTAATGTGATAAGTATCCCACCATCCTCTAATTCATTAGTCTATTAAAAACACAATGGAGATTGTGTCAGTGGTTGCTGTTTTTTATTCATTGGTTTTAATACTCTCATTTCTAGCTCCTTCATTCATTTTAATGTATTTGTCTCTTTTTTAAAAAAATGTAAGGTGGGGGGATTCCAGGGTCTAATGCATGAGAGGCAAGCCATCTACCCAAGTTACACCCCAGACCCCACCTCTAGGTTCATTTGTGGGTATTTTGGTACTAGAGGGAGTACAAACACACATAGGGACATGTTAGGGATGGAACCCATGGCCTATAGTAACCACAAATAGTTTCTTGAGGTCTATTGAACCTCAACAACTTTTCACTTTCAATTGTCATTTTCTCTGTTCCTCTCATTCTGCCTGCTTTGTGTCAAGCAGGGAATTTCCCCACAATATGCTACACCAGTGTCACCCTTACTTATTACTTGATTCTCTTACTCAATGCTTTTTGTCCTGTTTTATTGTTTTTATGTTGAGACAGACAACAATATAGTGCAGAAAGCCTTGAACTCCCCATCTCCTGCCTTCTCTTCCTAAATGCCAGGATTACAGGTGTACACCACCGTGTCTAGCTGTTTTGGTTTTTGTTTGTTTTATTTTTCCCCTTAAATACATGTCTAGCTCTTTCATAAAAATATGGGCAAGGTTAGAAAAACTGATCATTTGCTTTCTTTTACCAAAAGTCTCCTCAATTTTCTACTAAGTACTTCATGTATCCACTCCTGTAGCTCTGCACATAGGAGTTCTTGGTCCTACATGTCGTACCATGCTGCATGTTGTACCATGTTGCAAGCCATACCATGCTGCATGCTGTACCATGCATTGTACTCTAACTTCCAATCTTTCCCATTCATTGTAGCAAATGTTGTACTAAATCAGCTATAATTTGATTTCTGACATTTTTCTTCCATGCCTAACATTTTAACATAAAGAATGTTCTTTAAGATCGGATAACCCTTCAAAGTGCATTATTAGCAATTTTTTAAACTTTAAGTACTGCTGATCATTTGGGCTTGAGCTTGTTACTTTGGCTTACCAATATTTAATGTAGATTTTTCTCTTTTGGTCAAGAACTTCCTACTCTGATTCATTACATTTTGCTTAAGTACTTCCAAGTAATATATTCATTTATTTGTATCTGTGTCACATTTCATAGTCCTTTTGAAAAAAATCTGTTTTTATCTCTGTGCTTGAAAACCAGTTTTGCTGCACATAAAACCCTAGGGCCATAATAACTTTATCTCAGAATTCTACAGAAATTCCTCCACCATCCCTCTAGTATATAGTGCAACATAGGAAAAAATAAATGCCACTCTGATTCATTTTTGGGTTAGGCCTCTTTTTTTAATCTGGTAACTTGATTTTTCTGTTGTTGTTGATTCTTGACATTCAAGTTTCATTTTACCAGAAATCTGATTTCAGCATGTCTTATTTCAAGGTTTTTTTCATCTCAGGAAAATCTGAGTTTACCATGGTACTATCTGCTACAAATTACATAAACTGTATTTACTTTCAGAATTCCTGTTTCTCACCTAATAGTTACCTGTTAAATAGTCTATTCAAACTCTTCTCATACACTGTCTATTTTTACTATACTTTCTATGAGAAAATTCAATTTGATTCTAAATGTCACTTCTTACTATTTCCTTTTCCTGGGGGTGGAATCCAAGGCCAACTCAGTTCATGCTAGACACTCTACAACTGAGCTACATCTCCAGTTTTCCTCTATTAAAAAAATATATAAAATAGCTTAAATATTCAAAGGAGTGTAAAGTATTATTTAATAAACAGCTATGTATCTACCATCAAGCTTAAGGAAAAAATGCCTTCAGCTTCCTCATAAAGGTAATCTAAGTTTGGTATTCATCACCTCCTTGGGTCTCTTCACGCAGATGTATTTATCCACAAGACTACAACAGTATTGTTTTGCATTTTTATGCTTCACACAGATTTGACTTTTTATTTATTTTTATTTTTGTGGTACCAGGGATTCAAATTAGGGCTCTGCCTTTCCCAGGCATGAGCTCTATCCTGAGCAGTATCTCCAGTCCCAACTAACATGTTTCTTTAAGGCAATGTCTTCAAATCTCACTCATAAACTATCAATAAAATTATATCAGTGGTCTAGGATTACAAGCAGCTTTTAAATTTTTTTTAAAAGGAAAAAAAAAGAGAGTAGTCAGGAATGGGAATAGAAAGAGAAGGTGAAGAAAGTGACACATCACAGTGACAGATGTGCACACAGGAAGTCCGGGGTTTTTTTTTTATCATAGTCTGTCTAAACAGATCAATAAACAATGCTAAGGGATGTGAGGTGTGTGCCAAAAATATAAATAGCCACAGGCAGAATTCTTGAATCACTGAAAAAGATGCACATTCGAACTTACTAGATATTGACACAGTCCTAGCAAAAGTTAATTTGGGATTTACTTAAAAGTGGAGTTTGTTAAAACAAAAACCAAACAGAATTTAGATTTAAAACAAGGTATACTTTATGTAACCTCATTTTTCTTAACACTTGATTTTTTTTGGGGGAGGGGGTTGGGGGGGTTCATTTTTG